TTTACAAAGAATATGCATTGATCCTGCTGATTATTTCATAATTTAAAAAGAGCAGTGACATCTAGACATTGTTTGAGCCATTGTTGTTGTTGCGCCGGAAGTGGAAGTGCACGAAGTAGATAAACCCTGCCCACAAAACCTGGAAGCGTGATAATAGTCTATTATCATGATGTTCTTTCCTCATCGGAGCCACCGTATGTTGCTCCTGTTTTGGCGGCAATCAAGACCCAGTCAGACCAGATACAGGACCTCCGAGTGCTGCTGACCAACGTGCAGAAAGATCTCAAAGAAAACACGCTGACCCTAACTAACCTCCCCAAATCTGTAGAGTACAACTCATCACAGATACAAGATTGCAAGGAAAAAAACAGAAAGTTGGAAAGTGAAGTAATCCAACTTAAAGAGAAGAATGCACACCTAGAGAAAAGGGCAGCAGAGCAAGAAAGTCGAATGGCAGAAGCAGAGAGGTACAAGAGAAGGTGGAATTTAAGATTAAACGGCTTAAAGGAAGACAAAGAGGAGAACACTCGAGATCTTGTTGTAAGTCTTCTCTCAAAGATTGCCCCACACTTGAAGGAGAAAATGGGCTTCATCCTGGACTCTGTGCATCGCGTGGGTCCACACACTACCAACCACCCAAGACAGGTCATTATGCAGTTCACCATGAGAATCTACAGGGACGAACTGTGGCAAGTGACAAAAAACAATCAAATCTGCAAAGACCTCAGCATCTGCTTCGTGGAGGATCTCAGCAAAGAAGATCGAGAAGCAAGAAAAGCAGTCTGGCCCAAAGTGGAGCAAGCTAGGAGGGAAGGTCACAAGACTATGTTTCGTGGTCCTTATGCCTACATCAACGGTCAGAGGGTTGTGCCTTAAATCAAATGGTCCTGTTGGTATATTCTTTTAAAAGTATTCAGGGTTTTGCTACCACCTTTTCGCTGGTATCACTTTTGAGAACTTAGTTGTTTGTTCTACTGTTAACAGTGAATCACTTTTGTTCAGTATTATATGTTTGATATTAAAAGTTCAATTTCGCTTTTATCTGTAAATGCAAGGGACCTTAGAGATTTACCAAAAAGGAAAAGTCTCTTTTTATTTTGTAAGGGGAAAAAAGTTAACTTATTTTCTCTGCAGGAAACACACTCAAAGGAAGATGATGTTTCATTTTGGACTCAACAGTGGGGTGATAAAGCCTACTTCAGTCATGGCACTTCCAGATCAGCAGGGGTAGCTATCTTCCTAAAAAATTTTGCCGGCCAGATAATTTATAGTATGGCAGATGATAATGGCCATTGGCTTATTCTTATTGTAAATATTGACAATGTCAATTTTATATTTGTAAATGTCTATGGGTACAGTAATTAAAATGACAACAAACAATTATTAAATTAATTAATTTTACATCTGGACCACCTAAAAGTGGCACATTCAACTGAGAATATATTGTTAGGGGGAGATCTGAACTTGGTCAATGATGATTTTTTTTTATAAATATCCCCCCAAATTCACCTCAGCTCATCCTAATAAGACATTTAATAATCTTTGTGATGAACTTGGCCTAACTGACGCTTGGCGATATCCTAATCCTAACATAATTCAATTTTCATGGTTTCACCCAAATTATAGCTCAAAATCTAGAATTGATCACTGGTTAATTTCAAACAATTTAATCTATTCTAACTTTAGCTGTAATATTTCTCCAGCACCTTTAACTGATCACAGTGTAATATATATTCACATTAAATCTAAGAGCAGATTCTGTTCTAACAAATATTGGAAATTCAACTCAAGCTTGCTCAAAAATGAGGATTGCTGCCAACATATTAAAACATTAATTAATGATATTAAATGCAACGAGGAACTTTCAACTCCAGTAAGAAAATGGGAATTCCTAAAATTTTTAAATCCGTGAATTCTCAATCCATTATGGTAAAAAAAAGAAAAAGGAACTTGAACAAAAGGAACATGACATTATTAACCAATTGAATTTCTACTGTAACAAACCCACTCAGAGTGACGAAGATAAACAAACCATTTTACATTTTCAATCCTCTTTAGATCAGTTGTATATTCATAAAGCCCAAGGAGCATTTATTAGATCTAGGGCAAAGTGGATAGAAGAAGGAGAGAAGAACTCTGCCTATTTTTGTGGTCTAGAAAAAAGACATCAGGAAAAAACAGCATAAAATCCATATTAATCAATGACTGAGAAATTACTGATGAAAGAATGATGTCCTTTGAGATCTTTAAATTTTATAGGCAACTTTACACCTCTAAATTTTCTAAAATTGACTGTGAAGCCTTTCTTAAAGAGGCTTCAGATAACATCCCAAAAATAAATGAGGACTATAAACAAACCTGCGATAGTCCTCTCTCTGTTGTTGAACTTGATGCCATAATTGGCAAACTATCTCCCAACAAAGCCCCAGGTTCTATAAATTTTTTTGGGAAGACATAAAACAGTTACTTTACCATGTATTCTTAGAAATCTTTGAGACCTGTTCACTTCCAGTTACAATGAGGCATGGGGTTATAATCTCCATTCCAAAACATAATAAAGATCCTAGTATCATAGAAAATAGAAGACCTATTACACTCAGGAATTCGGACTATAAGCTCCTAACATACATCTTTGCCTCTCGTCTACAGTCAGGGCTTTCAAACATTGTTGCAGAGACTCAATCCATTTTTGTAAAGGGTAGATCTATCCATAATAATATAAGACAGGTTATGGACCTAATTGAATACAGTGATTTAATTGAAGACCACGGGTTTATTTTCTTTTTGGACTTTTACAAAGCCTTTGATTCAGTAGAACAGCCATTTATGATATCTGCACTTGAGCATTTTGGGTTTGGTATCAAATTTAAAAATTTAATTGGTGGATTATACAAAAACATAAACCGGCTGTGTTCTTCTTTTCAAAGGGCTCTACTCAGAGCTTCAATGTAGAAGTTGGTATTCCTCAGGGCTGCCCAATCTCTCCGTATCGCTTCATCTTGGTCACTGAATTATTAGCCATTTATATTAAAAACTGTACTGATATCCAAAAATTAAATGTCCTGGGCAATGAAATTGTTATCAGTCAGTTAGCAGACGATACAACTTTATTTTTTTTTTAAATGAGCACCAAATTCAAAAATCTATTGACAAAATTGCTAAATTCTCCAAAGCCTCAGGATTATTTTTAAATCTGAAAAAATTTGAACTTTTCTCTCTCCATGAGAATCAGATAAACGAAATCTGCCACATTCCTATCAAAACTGAAATAAAATATTTAGGTATTCAGCTCTGTAGAGAACAAAAAGTAAGCCAGTTGGTCAATATAGAAAGCAAACTTAAAGAATGTAAATCAAAACTGAACATTTGGCTCCAAAGAGATCTATCATTATTAGGCCGTATTTATTTGACCAAAATGGAAAGTTTATCAAGATGTATATACCCACTCTATTCAAATGCCATTTCAAACTATTTAATCAAATCTATAAATCAAGTTAAGCTAAATTTCATATGGAGAAATAGACCTCATTATATGAAGAAAAGTCATCTAGTGAAAGAAACAAGTGAAGGTGGTCTAAATGTAATTGATTTAGAGTGCCTCAATGCAACCTTAAAAATCAATTGGCTCAAATCTTGGATTAAGCTCCATAATTCCTTATGGTACTGTATCCCTAACTTTATTTTTAACAAATTGGGTGGACTAAACCTTCTACTTGTTTGTGACTTTGACATCAATAAGCTTCCTGTCTCTTTATCAGAGTTCCATAAGCAAATTTTACTATACTGGAAAATGTTGTATGTTCATAACTATTCTCCACACTCCACAATAATATGGAATAACCGATATATTCTACATCGTAACAAATCACTGTTTTTTTTTACGAAGACTGGTTTGAAAGAAATATTTGGTCAATAGCACACTTAATGGATGAAAGTGGCAATTTACTAAATTACAACCAATTCTGTGCAAAACATGATTTTAATCCCTCATATTTGGACTTCATACGTTTATGTAATGCTCTCCCTAAAGAATTTCTTTATCTCTCAAGGAACATTTTGACAAACCAAAATATACACCCACATATACCTGCCTTATCAGTACAATGAGTGTCAATAACAGACAGAAAATGCAATAATTACTTCATTAGAAAAGTTCTAACAGGAAAAATGTTCCCTGGTTTGCAAAATAAAAATGATATTTGATATAAATTTGATAAAGAAGCAATAACAAAACTGAGAACGATGTATTTGGCCTTTCCTGTTGTTCCTAAAGTAAAGGAAACACATTACAAAATCATGAATAACATATACCCATCCAAAGAATTACTTCAATTGCACTTTAAAATTCAAGAAAACATTTGCACTTTTTGTGAAAAGGAGATTGAAAGCACTGATCATCTTTTTTTCTTTTGTGCTACCATCCAACTCTTTTAGTCTGAAATGCAACTCTGGATCAATTCCACATTTCGTTCTTTACCAGTCTTGTTAAACAGAGATGTTATAATTTTTGGTGTACTACTACAAAATAAAAAAGAAGAACTCTGTGTAAACTTAATATTATGTCTTGCCAAATTTTACATCCACAATTGTAAAATTCAGAAATGTCCCCCTAACTTTGCTTGTTTTAAAAACGAACTCAGATTATATATAAAAACTCTGAAACATATGAATTGACCTAAACCTCAAAAAGTGTATTCCTACATGTGTGAAATACCCCTGGACTTTATGAACTCTGGCTGAATTAACTCTACTTCCCTTGCTATTATCATTTTCTATTCTTAAATGCACTTTTTTTTTTTTTTTGTATTATATTGTATTGTTTCTATATAATATGTTGTGTTTATGTTCCCTCATCCCAACATGTAACTGATGACGACACACAGCCATGTTTGTTATATCAAGTTTATGCGCCCAGTTGTGTGTACTAAAAAAAAGAAAAAAAAAAAAAAAAAGAAAAGACAATTCACCGGAAGTAGGCGTGCATAAAGGTTCCTGAATGCGGAAGTACTACGTGATAATAGTCTATGTCTATTAGCTTGACATCGAGAACGGCAAAACTTGTTACGGAGCAAATGAGTATATATACATATATATATTCAGATATTTTCTATGCCTTTGTTTAGCTTTCGCTCTGAAGGTATGTTATTATGTACAAAGATATGTTATTGATTTAAATATTTCTTTTGGATAACTTTGTTTTTCTGGCTGTTATCTTTGTTGACTGGTGTTGTCAAGGTGAATGTAAATAATAATCAAACTTGCGTAGAGTTTTATGAATGTGTGTATATTTACATACTGTATTTTGCATTCCTTTAAGCTCTTACGGCAGATTGGAGGCTTTATTGCCATTAAACCCTAAAGTCGCCGGTTTAAGTGTCAGTCTTCATTCAGAGGGATACTCTACAGCACCTGTCGCGTCAAGGGCGTATCCTGACAGCTCCTCTACGTGGACATTTCGTGTTCAGTCCATATCCGGCAGTGCGCATTATTGATACGGAATGTCTCCTATCAAGGATTTTAAATTGAAATATGAAGCTCTCAATAAGGAAAATACTTTCACGGCGGGGGATACAATCAAAGGGACGCTTACTTTCACGTTGACTGAAGAAATAAAAATAAAATCACTGTACATGAAGGCTAAAGGAGACGCAAACGTACACTGGAGTGAAGGGCATGGTGGTCATCAGAGATCTTACTCTAAACGTGAGAGATTTTACAAAGTTAAAGAGTTTCTAGTTCCTGAAAATGATGATGGTAAGTAGGCCTCGTCTAAAGAAAATGATATATATTCATATACATAGAATGCGTCACTACCATAGACCGTATATGGTGACTTCACATGAATGCGATGTAGGCTATATTGTGATTGACTTTTAAGAAAAAGTAGCATACCTATGTGAGTATTCGCCTTCACTGGAGTTTGTAATGCAAAATGCGACTATATTGACATTTTGTATAGGCCTATTATACGTTACATTTATAATCATTTAAATTGTTTAATATAAAACCGAATATTTGATGTTACACATTTCCTCTGGGCTTCATTGCAGAAACTGTTCTTCCAAAGGGAGACCATCACTATAAGTTCAAGCTAAAAATACCAGAAGGGTAAGATTTTTTTAAAGAACAGATAAAATTGCATATCAACCATATGCATAGCTATAATGGGCTATAAGGGTTCTATAACAGCTAGACAAACTTGTCTTCCAGATACATCCCACCATCCTTCAGGGGTTTACATGGCAAAATTGTCCATGTGCTTCAGGCAAAACTGAAAAGGAGTTGGCACATATCTACTTCAGAAAAAAAAGAACTGAATTTTGTGTCTAGATCTTTTTTACCTTCTGACCAGGTACTATGCTTTGTCAATATGATCAACTGTTGTTCTAAGTGTAACTGTTAAGCAGCACATCATACAGCATACATAACAACATGTCTTGGGGATAACATGAGAAGATATAGCCTACTTATGATTATAAATGCTGTCTTCCTAATTATCCTATCTTTCCAAACATTAACCTGATTAAACCAATAAAAAATCATGTCATGCAAAGCCTGTTTATAGTTTAAACCTTATATTTATATATTAGTTATTTGTTTAGAGTTAAAACATTGGATAATTTCAGAAGTTATTGTTTTCTCCATAATGAGTTAACCCTTTTCAACAAGATTGTGTTACAAAGTAAGCACTAAAATCAGGCCAAACCTGTTTCTGCTGCACGTGTCTTTCACCACAAAAGGGAACAGAGCATATTTGGCATGTTCTCTAATTGTCTTTCAATGTAAACATGCATGTTTTTATGTCCTTTGCTAGTCTCCCCAGTCTGGTTCAATCGATAAAAAGGTGGGGACGTTCTCCAAAGGTGAAGTTCATTTGAGTGCAACTGTGAACAAAAGGATTGTCTCACCAGGTACATATGGACAGTCTCTGTGAAAAAAATGTTGTGTTTTTAATATTTTAACTGGGATAGTCCCACTCATATTTAGAATCCCATTTTCAGATTAATCCTGGCATGATTGTTTATACATTTGTACATATAGGGTGACTGTTGGACAATTAAGTTTGATTAATTTCATTTTAAAATCCATGCACTTCTATAACTTACATTTTACCTTATACTAACCATTGAAGTGTGCAGAATTTAAAAATTATGTGTTTTGTGGGTGTGAGATTATTTTCTGAAATGTGAAAAATTATGAGAATCAACAAGCAATAAATGAAAATATATTAAATTACTAGGTTATATTTATTAGTTAAACCTACAAAAATAGCATACACATTCCTTTTGGTCATTTTATTAGAAGCACTTATGCCACTGTCCCACTTTATCAATAAGGCATTAGTAAAGTGGCTCAGTGATGTATTGGTAAAGTGAAACAGTATATATTTGGTCAAATGTAACCTTCTTTGAGCATATACCTCAAATTATTATGGGTTAGACGGACAGATATGACCGTTCTTAGGTGCCAACGACCTCTGATCACAACATTTCACAAATGCACATATATATCTATGTAAAGTGAGTTGTGTCTTGCCAAAGGATGCAATGGCAATAACAATGACAATATGTAGTTGGTTGAACTACCAACTTTTAGGTTAAGAGTGTCCCTTTCTACTGAATGACAGTCAACAGTGTATAATAACCCATAAGGAAAGATACAGATGTGTAAAAGTCCACTGTAAACAAATATCACAAAAAGCAGGTGTATGCAAATATGATTTTATTATGGTTTGATGTCACACACTCAGAACATATCTGAAAGTGCCTTTAAAGGCTGCCACACACTACAGGAGAATTTGTCCAATTTTGGCTGTGATTTGCTTCTTCCCGAGTTCAGGGAGGCATGACTTTGACCATGATGATTATGAAGACGTTGAGCTCCTCGTGTGGTGTCAGTGTGACTCTGAGCTGCTGTCAGATTATAACCACCAAACATCATCAACGCTGCGTAACAGCCAATAAAACAGAGTGTCAGGGTCAGAGGAGTGATGGACAGAGGCACAAGATACAAACTTAGGAAATAGCGAAAATAAGGAGAAGACATCACCTAAAAAGTGAAGTTAAACTGCAGCATCCATATTGTCCACAGAATTTGTCCTCCACAAATAATGACACCCAGTTCACAAAACATCGCTATTAATCCAGTGTGACGCATTTTTAAAAGTAAAAAAGCAAAAGTAGTTTCCCATTTTTCTTTGTTTACATCCACGCAGCGCACTGAACGAGGTGAAGCTGCAGATTAGAGATAGTGACTCTACTTCCTGTGGACTTTATCACCAACCTTCTGTGCGCTAAATATCATGTATATGAACTACACCACATTTCACAAATAATAATAACACAGTTTTGACTTGACAGCTAAACTAGAAGTGCAGTGCTCTGATCTTTTGAGCACTTAAGAGTCTCAAAGTGAGTAGTTTTACCATAGACAGCAGACAGCAATCACACTCACAACTTTATATGCTGTGGTACAAAGCCATATCCTGCTGCAGCCTTTGCAGTCGGAGATTTAAAATCTCCTTGTCTCTATGGTGTGTATGTTTTGTCGCATGTTTAAAAATTGTTTAAGACTGAAAAATCCTGTATTGTGTGGCAGCCTTTAGGCTGCAGATTCTAGCATCATCTGTATGGGTCTTTCTTGGCTTTAAAACACACTTTTGTGGTTAAAATAAAGGTAGTCTGTAGCCTCTAACCAAATACCAATTACAACTGTTGCTTTTATGTTGTTTTGTGTTTTCACTACAGAAAGTAAAAGTTGACTTCTAGAGCTTTTTAAAAATATATTTTATTCTAAGCTCATATTACATTCCAGACTTTTGACATTTAATTTCAAATGAAAAATATAATAGAAAATTAATTTTCAAAATGTGTCTCACTGTACCCATATTCACCTACATCTACTGATTTCAGTGTATTTTGTTCACAGGGGAAACTGTTCATGTTACTGCCAAAATCAGGAACAAATCTTCCAAGAAAGTACAGATCAAGTACAGTATTGATAAAAAAACTGTGTACCGTGCATACCGTAATGCAAAGATACATAATGAAGCTGTGTGCAAAATTGCTGGAGAGAATATTGATCCTGACTTTGAGGGTGAGTTCTCCTGCTCCATCACAGTTCCTGCAGATATCAAGTTCAGCATCCAGAACTGTGACATCATCAACATGGAGTACTATTTGAAGGTATGACCATAAGTTTTTCTTTTGCTCTATGTAGAGTGTAGAGCAAAAGTCTTTATACTGTACATCTCTATCTTACACAATAATCATATTTCTTTTTTTTTTATTTATTGTGTCTTTTTGTCCTTAAGACCAATTTAACAAATTTTACTCTATCTCTGGGTTTGTGTTTTTTCAGGCATATTTGGACATCAGTTTTGGTATTGACCCTGAAGTGTCGCTTCCACTCATCATTGCTGCTCCAGATCTCATTGGCCATCATGGTTTCCAAAATGTCCCTGGGACAATAGGTGGTCCAAGCTCCAGTGATTTTCCTCTACCTGTCTCTGGTCCTTATCCTTCAGGCCCACCAAATGCATATGTATACCCTCCACCTGGTCCTAATCAATATCCACATATCCCTGCTGGAGGATACTACAATCCTGTTCCAGGCTACAACAATCAAGTGCCCCTGCAGCCTCTGCAGCCCCTCCAGCCCCTCCAGCCCCTGCCACCCCTGCCGCCCCTGCCTTATGGGTATCCAGGAGCGCCTGTAATGCCTTGCCCAGGGCAGCCTCCACTCAATACAATGAATGCTCCACAAGACGAGGCACCGCCATCTTACACGTCTCTCTACCCACCTTCACAAAGTGACATGGTCAAAAAGACAAATCTTTAAGTGCTCATTATTAAATAAATAATGTACCAATACAAGTGCATGCACAGCTTAGTTTCTGCACCCTAAAGTCTTCAACTGACAGGGACCAACTATGTTACTATTGTTGTTACTATTGTTTTTGACTGCTGTTACTTATCTTGTATAAATACCTCTGCACGTAACATGCACAATTTTATAAGGCACTGTCATCTTTAATTTAAGTTCTTAAATAAACATTTTAACTAACACAAGTCACATTCTTTGGTGTGCATCATTATACAGGAAAAACATCATGTGACCAGTTGGCTGTAAAAGCTGTCCCATATCTCACAGTACAGGGCAGGGACCCCCATTCAAGTTTGTAGAGTGAACAGGTCTTTTAACAGATTTATGATCTTCACATCTAATTAGCAGTCCATGCAGTTTTCAACACAGTAGCTTTTAACAGCCTTCTTTGCATTCCTAGAATACATTTTGGGCTTTACTATTTAGGATAGATCTATCATAGTATGACCTATTTAATTACTTTATTTTATTTGTGTAATGAGGTACAGTGACTTATTAAACTGTACCGACAACAACTCTACCACAGTGCAGAATCCAATAGTCTAGATTTAGGCAAACAATGTCTGACAGTAATATAAAAGGAATTAAATTCATACAAAAGATAGGCCCTAATAGTGTTTGGATTGACCCATATCTCCTGAATGGTCTAAAAACGATATACTTGCGAAAATATCCATGTTTATTTCCCACATATTGCTGCTCCTCATACTGATGTGGGATCTGGGGAAACTGTAGCCACGCCCACTGACACTTGTCACTGTCTGTAAAAAGATGTAACAACAAGACTCTACAAACTTTGCTGCCTGTGTGCGCCATGGCGAGGACACAGCTCCATCTACGTTTGGTGGTTCTCATCGTTTGCATCGGTAAGTTATGTGAAATTAGATACTTTCTTGGGGAACATCAAAAGAAAACTGTTTAGTCGCCAAAAGGAGAGAGGATTAATGTTTCGTCGCGCGTTAGCTGAAACCGGTGTGGATATCTACTCCTATAGCCAGAAGTTCCATAGAAAATACGCAACTTGTAGTAAGCATTATGCAGCAAGAGTAGTAGTAGTAGTAGTTAATGTTAAATCCATGTATTTTTGAAAATGTAGAAAATGTATTTCTTAGTATAAAGCCATTAAGAAAATACAAATATGGCCTACTGATTGGCAGCCTTTAGGCAATACAGTCACAATAATGTGTGACTGTATTGTTGTTGTTGTTGTTGTTGTTGTTGTTGTTGTTGTTGTTGTTTTTAACTTGTTTAAATGTTCCACAAAAGCCTGCAAGTTTAGTGTGGTGTACTGTAGCCTACTTTCTCCTTTGTAAATAAGCTACTGTATGCTTAGAGTTGCCATGGAGTAGGCCACTTATTCAGCCTGTCACTTTAGATGAGGTACAAAGCCAAACAAACTTCCATTTTACTATTTCCTGTACTTGGCAAAATAAATTTGAATTGTAAATGTGTAATCTTTTTTTTTTTTTTTTTTAGGTACATCCTTAAGCATTAGAATCAGGAACAAGCTGTTGGGGAAGTGTCTGCAAGGAGAGACTGATGGGAGAGTGGCACTCGGGGATTGCAGTGTACATGAGTCCTCCCAGCTGTGGCGATGGCTTCAAGAGAACCATGCTTTGCAGAGCCAGCACACAGCTCTGTGTTTAACTGCACCCACTGAGCAATACGAAGGGGTCCAGCTGCAGCCCTGTGTCTTCAGTGAGCTATCTGGAGAATACGAAGATAAAGGTATGAGCAGACAGTCATGGTCCTGCTCCAAAAAAGGCCACCTCACTTTGATGGGGAAAGGGCTGCATCTGAGTGCCATTCAGGAATCCTCTTTAGTTTTTGTTTCCATGGAACACAAGCAAGTGAGTAAAACTCTATGATACGATGTAAAAATAACAGATATTTCATAATATTAGCACAGTATAACTGTTAGGAAATCATTAATTAACTGATAAATTAGGTATTTAGCTGTACTCACTTGATGTAGACATAAACCACGACATCTGTAACCACTTGTAAAGACTCTTATTTGTGTTTTTGTTGGATGCATACATAAGTAATACAAAGAAGAATAAAATGCACATATGAATGAAGTTAGGTCATTGCATGTGTGAATGGTAAACCACATAAGTTTAATTCTGTTACATGCAGGGTAGCAGATGGAGAGCTCTTGATAACCAGACACTGTGTGACGAGAGAGGGAGCATGCATCACCGGGAGCAACATATTCAGTATCCTGGAAAACCAGTGGAACCTGGCATATCTGCTGTGGATGGGCAAACCCCGTTATGTAAGAAATATCACATTTCCATCACTGTATACAGCATGTGCTATAAAGCTTTAGCTTGTACTTTATATACCAGCACAGCTATTGATTGTGACCTTTCTCATAGAAAATCATACACAACTATGTTTTGAAAACAAAAACAGCATATATTACATATTCAGCCCAGTAGTATGTGATTTGATCCACTTTAGCCTTGGTTAAATTTACTTAAATGTACATTATGCCATCATAATGTACAATCATTAAAATTTTTCAAGATGATCTTAAACAATTATGGGACGGAACGTGAGATTGACAGGCGGATCGGTGCAGCGTCTGCAGTGATGCGGTCGCTGTATCGGACCGTTGTGGTGAATCGGGAGCTGAGCTGAAAGGCGAAGCTCTCGATTTACCGGTCAGTCTTCGTTCCTACTCTCACCTATGGTCATGAGCTCTGGGTAGTGACCGAAAGGATGAGATTGCGGATACAAGTGCTCGAAATGAGTTTCCTCCGCAGAGTGGCGGGGCGCGAGATAGGGTGAGGAGCTCAGTCACACGGGAGGAGCTCGGAGTAGAGCCGCTGCTCCTCCACGTCGAGAGGAGCCAGTTGAGGTGGCTCGGGCATCTGTTCCGGATGCCTCCTGGGCGCCTCCCTCGGGAGGTGTTCCGGGCATGTCCCACTGGAAGGAGGCCCCGGGGAAGACCCAGGACACACTGGAGGGACTATGTCTCTCGGCTGGCCTGGGAACGTCTCGGGGTCCCCCCAGAGGAGCTGGAGGACGTGTCTGGGGTGAAGGAAGTCTGGGAGTCCCTGCTTAGGCTGCTGCCCCCGCGACCCGGCCCCGGATAAGCGGATGAAAATGGATGGATGGATGGATAATATAACATTTGCCTGTTGTTTTAACAGATGAAGGTTTAAAAGACTCTGAGATCACAGAGACGTACCCCATCAATAATGTGTCTCTTCCATCAGTAAACACTAAATCTGCTGACCCCACCATGATATTCTTTAATATGGACTATGGTAAGTAAAACATAACAAGTTAACACATTTGAAGTAAACGTTACTGCCATTATAGGGCCACATTAACAAATAACATAAAATGTGTTTTTGACAGTTCTGACAGCTGTCTTGTTTTTATAATTTTAGAAATATAACCTAAACCAACCACTAGGTGGAGCTGTTTGTGTTACATTTGCAAAAGACCACAGCCTAAAAGGTTACCGAGGGCCACTTGTAATGTTTTTTTGTTTTTTTTTATATACTATTGCTCAGGTATGGGCTGGAAGATAACCATGCTTGTATTAAGCAGCTTGGCTTTGGTTTTGGGAACTATTATCCTCATCCTTAATGTGTATTCTAACAGGTAAGTACTTGATAAGAAAATCCAAAAATATGTCTAAATAGGGTATATCAATAACAACTGCTTTTTATATTGCCTGTCAGAAGGAAAAAGGTGGTGTGTGTTTGAAGTCATATTCACCAAGGCAAGAAATGAGTGTCCCTGGTTCCCCGATGCCTGGTGAAAGAGCACCCCTGACTGAACATGCTATGCGCCTCCCACAGTCCACCCCAACTTTGCAGAGAGGAGAGATCCTTATTGAATGGAAGGATGGCACTGTGACTCCTCTGTATGAGGCATGAGGTCCACAACAGGTGGGATGTGAGATGGAGAATAAAAAGTTTTTTTTTTATTTTTTTTAGTAAGATTATTAACATTAAACTACTGAAGCACTTTTAGTTGTCTTTTTAAAGTTCTAAAAACCATACCAATGTAACATTATATAGTTTTAGTTGAGTTTTTTTCTCCCTGTAAACTGATTAAGAGCTTCAGAAATATAGTATCCCCTTGTGACAGACTTGCCTGGTACTGGCAATATTGACTGTAGTAGTTACTTTTAGTAGTAACCTAATATTTAGTTTATTTTACAGTTTATGTTAATAAAACATAGATTATCTATGTTTATTAATGTGTTATAACATGTCATATTTTTGTACATTTTTAAAATACTGGGATGCTTTTGTTACTACATTACACTTGGTGCTAAATACACCAATAAATATACCACTGATATCAATTTGGGTAGCCCATCAAAACATTTTTTCCTATCATCATCATTAACCATAGCAGTGCTTGTAGGACTGTAGTAAAGTTACAAGTTGCAGGAATGTATAATCACATACATGTTAGGTTAATGGATGGTGGTGATGGAGGTTCAGCCCATAGCACGGAAACTTCCCAGCAGGAACCTGTTTACAGCAGCAAAACAGAGGGTGTTTTACTGTCTTTGGGTGAGGCTGCTGTTGCCTAGCATCTAATTTGATCTTTAAGTTTGTAACATAAATGAGAAGAAAAGATATGAGCACTTCTTTTTAGCCCTATGGAGTGTTTTTTCTCTTCATTGGGTAATAATTTTGTACAAAAGGATGTTTCTAACTGAGCTTAACAGTCAAGTGATCATATTTACTTCTCTCCACCAGATCACACAGTTTTCCGCATGTCCAGACTCTGGCAGAAGGAAAACTGTGTGGCAGTTCTGTGTGGCAAACAAAGCAGATTTTCCCCAGATGTTTTGTATCAATATAATAGATTATAATAATACAAGGATCTCTCATCAAGGAGTGTCACCAATTACTGATCATGAATGTTTATTTCTAAATTACTTGTTTGTGTTTTTTTGTGTCCAAAACTATTCTTCATCATAAACATATGACATAGCACATATAAGCTAAACATGTACCTACAGTGACTAAAATCACTTTGCATGTTTGTTGCGTATGTGAGCAAATACATGTGCTTGTATGTATGTAAGCATGTATAAGCGTGTGCATGCGTGTGCATGTAAATTAGGCAATAGAATAATTAGCATAAAATTGCCTTTTGATGCACCTTTAGATGGGGCGGCCACAAAGGCTGTAGGTGGTGTAACCCTGTTTCTCTGAGGTGCACCATGCTGTGACTGCTCCTCTGGGCTGTATCTGGGATGGACCTGGTGTATGGAGAGCAGCAAATACCAGGGCTGCAATATAATATTGAAGAAAACTGTTTGATGGATGTCCTAATTTGGTACACATTTTATGCACTTAATGGTACAAACAAGTATTTCACATTACACAAAATCAATGCACAAAAACTAATGCTGGTGCGAATTATTGACCTTTACCAGGCTGCAAGAAAACAGCACAGAATGATCTACTTTGCATTTATCAGATTGGACAAATATCAAAGGTTTATGCCAAAATGTAGAGCATCTGAAGTATCTGAAAAGAATGATCCCAAAAAAGTTAAATCAAATAATAAACTAAAAAATATCCTGGATGTCCAAATACTGTGCATTTTTTTCATTTATTATTATTTGTTTAACAATGCCAAATGCTTTTTAAACAACATTGTATGTACACATGTGTACATGTTATAGTTATCCATTTCATGTGTGTCTTTTTGAAGGATGGATATTTGTCTTTTCAGCTGGTAGCATTTACACTAATGAGAGGCCACAAAGTTTAATGAGCAGCAAACTGGACTGTGAAAACCACCACATGCTCCCTGTCTAACCACAGACACACTTTATCCAAACAGAAAAAATTTAGAATCTATTCCTTTATTTTTACACTATATTTGTCTTTTGCTGCAATATTAAATATTGTATAAAGCACTTACATATACAGCATGTACACTTTGTTGTGAGTGCTAGTGTGCAGATTGAGCAAAAAAAGTTTAAGTCCCCTCATTATACTCCAAAATTGCATTCGACTAAACAATAAACATTTTAAAGTGAAAGGGTGGCATTTTAACCCCTTTAAAGCTCCTTTTCAGCATTCTGCAACAATAAAAACCTTAGCCGTTTTAATGTCCAAATACTTATATAATGTGTTGTGCATGTTTTTACACGTAAGATGGGAGGGTTTATACCTCTTTCAATAAAATGGGTGTGTTGTTGTAGTCTGACTCAGAAGCCTTCTTACGTACATGATCATTCTGGTTTAACATTCTACAGACAATGGAAAATTATAATTAAATTGAATAATAAAAATTCACACTGCTTGATACAACCAGAGTTAAGTTATTTTCCCATATGCCTTTAATGCACTGTTACAGATTTATTATGCTCGTTTTCATGAAGGAGGAGTTATAAAAAACGTTGGACGAAGATTGTGAGACAAATCACCAAAATGAATTATGACTATGATCCTGGCAATAAACTAAACACACCAGTAAATGCTATTTCAAATTTTACAGGGACAACTAGTTCCTTTGACTTCGACCTGGAATAACAGCAGGTTAGGTTTGGGAGTAGGCAGCTTGAATGAGAAATTCCTCTCCTAAAATTGTTGTCTAAAACTTGGATATAACTGAAGAAAAGGATAACTTCAAAAACAACAAACAGATGTGGTCTGAATGTGCTGAATTTGAGCTTTTTCAGTATTTTCTTCTCACAGAAGGATATTGTGTTGGATATTATTGCTTTGTTATCATAAGTCTTCAGGAAATGAATATATGTCATTGCAGTGTCCCATGTGATAAAACCATGGCTGTATACGTTTGTGTGTTATTGTAGGTACTGTAGTTATTTGAAGAATGCTGTTTCATATTTGGGTTAAATAAGACATAATTCCTAAAGCTCTTGAAAGTAAAAATTATTAGGTTAGCCAGGATGACTTGTATATGAGTTTAGTTTGAATTCAAAGTCTATGTGTAAACAGGACACCTATCACACATGGCCAGCACATGGTGGCAGCCTTTCCCTCAGGTGCTTCATGCAAAGAATGAACCAGATGATAAAAATGTGGCATCTGGATCAAACATTTTTTTTTTTTATTAATTTCTTACAAAATTAACTCTGGAACAGGTTCTTATACCCTCTTTAAATATTCTCACCATAAATATATACTTACAGCTCAAGAGTTCCAGCCGTTATGTGCATACACCTGTTACGTGTTCCTGTGCATGAGTTACACCATGATGAAATATACCTGGGGCAGATGTTTCGCCTAAACTTTGGCGTGAGCAATCTGGCTTCAAGGGTTTAACGGAGATTTAATAGCAAATCTCACCTGCAGCAAATATAAAAGGGAATGTAGTTGGTATGTGAGCTGTCTTATGGTTCTATTGTGCTGATAAGGAACCAGTGATTTCTGACAAATGTTTGTTTTGAATTATAACTGAAAATCTAATAGGCCTGCTTAAACAAGTCTTCTCTCTTCTAGCTATTTTGCATTAACAATTGATTCACTTTTTGGCAATAGGCGTGCACAAATAAGCAGCAGGAGCTTGTTTGCGCAAGAAAGGTTACTTCGTATCTCACCAGAGAATTTAGGATAACATTTTACTGTGCTGAAAGATTTCTTACAGATAAATCTAATCTAATCACTAAATTCCAGAGGAGGATTTAGTGCAATAGTTCATGTAATGATAGAAACCACATGTCCATGTTTTGAGGCTGGTATTGGCTTGGTAAACGTACTTACTGACTGCTTGTGTATGACCATAAAATTTATACAATTTGCATAGCTTACATTGCAAAGCCCAAACTATTTTAAATAGCTGTGTGTGATATTTAGCTGGACATAATCTCTTTGGGAACTTGTTTAGACAAATGCAACTACACTGTACACAGTAAAGAGCATACACTGGCCATTATGATTTGAAATAGCTGTTTGTAGAGCTATGTAATATGTGGTAATCATGCATTTCATCCATTTACTGCAGGTGAATTGGAAAGGTGGTGCATTTTGCAATATCAATTTGAAACCTCTGCTGTAGTTACTCACATAAATGTAAGAAAGAAATGCATGAAAAAGTAATGTTTTCATATAAAAATATTGTATCTGTAAAATGGCCAAAATTGACCATTTCTGGGACATTTAAATCAGAAACATGAAAAGGTTTAGGTTCACGTTTCAATTTCTTTCTTCTTTTTGTTGAAACATTAAATACAAAAAAATAAACAGAGGGGATTTAGTATTTGAGTGTTTGTAAGGTCTCACCTTAAGCTTTTCTGAAGGGATCTGAGCTCATGGTTGAAAAAGTAAGTTTATTGATAAGTGGAAAAAAAATTGTTTACTTAGTTACAATTGTCCTATTGTAACTTTATACTTTTTTGTCAGACAAAAAAATGAGAAGTACATTGGACATGAACTGGAAAGTAGAACAGCAGGTAACACAATCCACCTTTCTGTCATGAATGCTGCAACATCTTTATTGTATTAAAACAAGAGCATTTCCCCTCAACCTACATACACATTTCCCCAATCCATAAACTCAGTAACAGAAATATAGTAGTTAACAATTTACAACAATCAATTAAATCAAATCCTGGCAATTATGAAATTGTTGAATATTCTTGGCCAGGTGTGTTTGTTATTGTAAAACATTTAGTTTGGACCACAAAGTTATAATTGAAAAGTGATGGACTATAATTCAAGCATAGATTAAATATACAACATTTAAGAAAGTAATAGTTGTCAAAATCTACTTACATCTAAAACAATATAACAAAATAAAAACTATACAAAGCTATGAGCATACTACGTTGGTATGAAGAGTACAATACTGCAAAATGCAAAATAGTTTATAACAGAATTAATGTAATTCTTTGTTTTTTGTTTCCTCACAATCCATTTACAAAAATACTTAGACATTCAGTGCAGTTCTTTGCTGTGGTCATTGTTGGTAGTTACATTTGTTAACCTGACTTTCTCATTCTCTTGCTGTGCAGCTTTGCGATCACGTACTTCACCCTCCACATGGAAGCCTACCATCAGCTGATACACCATTACACCGATGAAAGTGCCAATGAATGGGGCAAATGTGGGCACCAGGAACCACCCATTTCTAAAACTGTAGGCAGAGGAACAATGTTATTTATAGATGAGAAGTAGACAAACAATGAGATGGTAACATGAAATAGTTATACTTACGTAAAAACATCAACACCCCAACCAGCCATGGCAGAGAAAACACGAGGTCCAAGGTCTCTGGCTGGGTTGACAGCATAACCAGAGTTAAAGCCCATGGAGAGTCCAATGACCAGAACCACAAAACCCACAGTGAAGGCCTCCAGCCCCTGTGGGATGGGGTTGTTGTATGGATCCACAATAGCCAAGATACACACTATAAGGGCAGCAGTCCCAATGACCTGTCACACGAGAGGATAATCAGGTCAGGTTAAACATTAGAACAGTTGAACTAAAGCTTAAGCATGTTGTTACTGATAACTTATTATTACCTGGTCAAAAAAGCCATTCACAATTGTCAGGTGCTTCCCGGGGTAAGTGGCAAAGATACCAGCTGTACTTGAGTTGCCGGTCATGTTGAAACATCCAGGGTAGTCCCACAGGGCATCTAATATGAAGGGACCAAAACACAATTACCTCTGGAACAGCAACCTGCATTCTCATATAAAGTACAGTTCATTTGTCATGACTTACCATAGTACATGCCAAAGATAATGGCAGCGCCGAAGAATGCACCAATCGTCTGGAAGAGAAAAAACATGGGCAACTTTCTCCAGCGCTCTCGTCCAAGGAGGCACAGGGCAAAGGTCACAGCAGGATTAAGATGTCCTCCTATTCATGTACAGGTTTGTGTTATTTCAAGGTGTTTATTATTATTTTAAATTAGTTGATTATTTCAAATCTAAACATGCAGTGGTGAACTTACCTGATATCTGGCCACAGACCAGAATGCCTAAGGTAGCAGCAAACCCAAAGGCAAAGTTGACTGTAATAAACATTCCATGAGTACCGCCACTCAACACATACTGAGCCACTGCACCCGTGCCAAACATCTGAAGAGTAAAGGTAAGATTTAGAAATGATGCTGTTTATGAATCCATACAATGCATTGCTTTGTCTGCAAGCATTAGACAAGGTAAGATGTAAGGCAAGGTGCTGCGATCATTAGCATTGAGTCAGAGAAAACAAAAACTCATAAACGCTCTCTTCTAGGAACTAAAAGAGTGCTATTGTGTTTGTAATGACACACAGGAGTGCACTGTGCTTAATGTGCAACAGGTTATAGTCACTTCCACTAAAGTATGTGAGATAAAAGAGATAATAAAAATATAAAAATATAATAAATATATATATATATATATATATATATATATATATATATATATATATATATATATATATATATATATATATATATATATATATATATATATATATATATATATATATATATATATATATATATATATTAAAAACACCACAGTGAACTGGTTTTGTGCTGTTTTGGATACAGGAACAGCTGAGTTTGTTGCCACTCTCACATTTTCCCTGTGTTTTAAATGTATGGTGAGACAAGTATGTGTGGTCTATGCTTAGGCTACAGCTGGTGGTGCATTCTGATGAGAACCCTTTTCCATCTCACCACACCACTGAAGGAACCACACACTTTGGGCCTGGCGCCTCAAGAAACTTCATCGTCATTGGGCCCAGTTTATACTAAACAGGCTCAGGGAAAATAAAATGCAACATAAATCTGCAGTGCATACTTAGCTGGTTGGTTTGTGTCAATTAATCAATGTGTGTGCCTTTCTAATGGACTTGATTTTAAATGGACTTGATTTTAAATGAGGAAACATGCTAAATGCCAGAGATATCCACTCGCAAGTACTTAGTGGCTTAGAGTGATCAAATTGCACCACTAAGATCTCATTAGAATACACTATTCCGTACAATATAGTAGTTTTTAATTTCCATCAGAAACCCTCAGAACATCTTGTGGTACATGGTTTTACAATCACTTATCTAACAGTTATAAACGATAAACTAGACATGACATCTTAATCTGTTCCATCAAAACATAAAATGGTTTCTCTTAAATAACTAACATGACAAAATAGATATGTGGCAAAACACACAGCACAGTGCAAACATCTCTACTACACTTTAATACACTAGTACAACACAGAACTGACAGGTGAGCTTTCTAAATTATAAGATGATAAAAATCAAAATTGTCAGAGCAGTTTTTCCCATAGGAAGTAGAATTATGTGTGGTGTCTTTGCACTTGTCACTATTAGTTATTAGTTTGTTGATCCTCTTCAGTGTGTGCATGTGTCAGTGCCACACCCTGTCTGTGTTCATCAATTACATCTCGATACTCAGGCAGTCCATGCCAGAAATATGATGTGGTTACCTTATTACACATGTATATGGAATGCAAATTGTTAATTTACATATTTTTAGAATATTGAGTTCTTATGTGAGATTTTAAGTCACAATTTTAAGTAAAAAGAGCTATACAGGTGTCTTAAATAAATGGACACCTTTATACAGTAAACAGTGTTGCTTTGTTCTTGTGTGTAGCTAAATACTTTTGAAAAAGGATGTTGTTGATGTCACAAGGATGGTTTACCATAAGAACATAGCACTAAGTCATTATCTGTCTCCATATTGTAAATAAAGTGAACTTGTCTGAGGTAACTAGTTTCTATTGAAGAAAATGGAATGAAAAATCATGTCACTTTTTTTTTTTTTGTACTGAAACGAATTACAGTACTTGATTTGAAGTTTGAAATGATATATAGTATGCAATCATTCATTTCTCTTATGTATATGACAGAAAGTTAACAACCGTATCTACACATAGATAAGAAATGAATAGAATGGCTTTGAAAAGGTGTGAAGAGGGTCTATACAGATCAAGTACTTCTACCACAAAGGATGAACTCATATTGAACCTTTACTTCACTTTAAGTTTTATGACACTTACCACAAGGATGAGGGTGCCCAGACACTCTGCCAGAGCCTGTCGAAGCAACAGGTTACGGAGCTGGAAGAAATGTGATAGTTTTTCCAATGCCACCTTTTGCGCGCCCATCTTGTTTCCTTTACTCAGACAGAAGGAGCAGAGAGGAGAGCCGGTGGTTGTTTGTTGGATGGATGAGGTTTTCGTGTGAGGCTGTTGAACAGGGAGGACCAGGGCTGCCCTTTATACAGTGATGATGATGGGCTTGGGACTGGGCCAATGCGAAGGCTGCACTTTGACCACACCCACATAGCACAGCCCTGCCTGCAAGTCATGAGTCATATACCTATTTTGTATGCAAGTAAGTGTATTACTATTAATGTTTTAATAAGAATTTCTTATCATACATATCTTGACACGGTCTTGAGTGTGCCAAGATATGCCAAGTGTCACATGCACACCCAATGTGTTTGCGTGCAATTTTTTGCCCGAAACCAGAAATTTTGAGTCACCATTTGGATATTGATACTGATATGTAATTTCTGTTTTAATGCAGGTTCAAACATGTTCACTGTGATAATGCCGACAAATCAGAGGTTTCAAATCAGAAAAAATTGCATCTGTAGTTAAAGAAATGCTCAAACAAAATAAAAAAAGTGATACTATGGTAATGAGTATTTGAGCTGTAAGTTTACTTGTATTTGAGTGTGTATATATGACAACAACATGATTTAAAGTTTAGAAAATAAGAAACAGGTTAAAGATAGGGATTGGGTTAGGCATGTTTTGTGCAATTGTCCACCAAAATCTAGTTGTATAATTACAATACAAATCACACCAGATATTTTAGTATGTATATTTTTAGTAACTATATCGAACAAAGCTGATGCAATTGTTCCTTTTGCACAGGCTTATTTTACAACATTTTCTTTCTACTGCGATTGCCGGAGTAAAACATACACATATTTTGGCAGATTTTCCTTTTGAAATGTACTACAAAAGGCATAGTATGGATCTAGTTACATCTTAGCACTGCCTCTCAGGTGTACAGATTATCTGCCTGTACCTGTCTCACTTTTGCTGACCTGTTCTTTTGTGCCTGGTCTGAAACTTCATCACTTTGCATTGTGCTCGTTTTGTCTGGTTTCAATAAGAATGTGAGAACATTAAATTCCCACAGCCATGCTTTTATCTGTAAGAATCTGTGTGCCAGTTCCTACTTGTGTCCATGTTAGACAGTGACTATTTACTTGTGAAGTAGGAGTCAAGTGAAAAAAACCTGTCAATGTTGGTTCAGACATGTATCTTGATGAGTAACAAAAAATTTCCACTTTCTCTATGAACATGTTTTATTACACAGACATGTGAAAAGAATGACACAAACCAGCCACAGCACTGGAGGCAGTTTGAGTCATGATGTGCAGTGTCACAGATACGTAACCTACATTGCGCAACTTATAAAACAGCCATTGTAAAATGTATATGGATTTAATGCTGCAGGACAGGTGTGAACAGACCAAAACAAAAACTGAACTATAAAGTTTAAAAGTTTCCACATGTTGCTGGTGACATGCTTCAATAGTGTTATACAAATGTTAAGATTTGTAAATAACTGTAAATTAAAGAGTGTCATTATTTTCTAATCTCGTCAGACTCGATAGTAAGCCACATACTCAACACTCAGTACGAAAACTCGGTCAAAACTACAAATGATTGCAGTAAATTGAACTATTTAACAATTTAGATGTGTTAATTTAGTTCCAATGAAGCTCAAAAATAGTCTGTAATACTTAAGGTGACAGATGTGCACCAGATGTGTGTCTGCAGCTGTGTGCCAGTCTGTATTTGTTTTCACTGAGATAGAAAGCAGATGAAGAAAAAAAGTTTCTATCTATTTTTCCAGTTAAGGCTTAAGAGTGACTGAAGCCCCAAACACAACAATAGGCCTCTGTACTATTATTTTATTTGCATCCCTTTAAAGTAAATATTGCGTAAGATTAAAAATGAACTCTTGGTAATTTGATAATTTTCTTATTTAGTTGTTTGCAGTTATATGTAATCTCATATCCTGTAACTAAACTGTTGCTACATCTCTTCTTATGAATGTGCCATAATCACCATTTACCACATCAGGCTTATTTGTTATTCCTTTTTATAATTTATCATCAAATAGCATGTTCTGCCTCTCCACTCCCTACTTCTGAAACTGAAACCGGCAATACCAGTTTCTGGTCTCTTTTTAAAGGTCTCTGAAATGTTCCAAAGGTAAATTAATCACTAAATCAAAATAAATTGACCCACAGATGCATGAGCAAGTTGAGATATCACACAATTCAAAAATGAAGGCTGTAAGTTTAGGGTTTAATAGTAATCAGAGACTGAAATCATGTAAGTCCTAAAAGCATGATGCATTGGGAACAGGGGTCATACTTTATGCAGATACAATTTATGTACAGTGCTATTAAGTGGTTAACGAGCAGAATTTTTATTGTGCATTTTGTAGCAGTCAGTACTCTCTAGTTCACATAGAATTTCTACTGAAATCTAAAACACTGAAGATGCTTAATAATGTTACCAACAAACACAGCATTAAACCATGAAGGGGTCAGGTTAAAGTTAAAGTACAATATATTGTCCCCACAGTGAAATTTGTCCTCTGTATTTGACCCATCCTTCATTATCACTGGGGTACAGGCAGTGTTGGGGAGTAACGGATTACATGTACCGCCGTTACGTAATCAGAGTACAAATTATAAGTAACTGTATTCCGTTACAGTTACTGTTTCAATGAGTGGTAATTGGATTACAGTTACTTTGCTGAAATAAGTGGATTACAAGGCGGTATTTTCCTGTTTTCACATTTTGTGCTACATCCCATTTATTTATTTTTTTATTTCTGTAATTCCACTCATTGCCTGAAGCCCAAACAGAACGCGACAGGAAGAGCGATGGAAACGTCATGTTAAAGTTGGCGGTGTCAGTCACACAGTGGAAGCAGCAGTGCATTGGTAAAAACGCATTTGTGTCTTGGAAATTCTTCTCCCGATGTGAGATATATATATATATATATATATATATATATATATATATATATATATATATATATATATATATATATATATATATATATATATATATATATATATATATATATATATATATATATATATATATATATATATATATATATATATATATATATATATATATATATATATATATATATATATATATATATATATATATATATATATAAACAAATATAAAATCGCCTACAACTTAAATGTGAAACCGGAGCTACTGGCACTGGTGAAAACAACCTGCATAGACTCATAATATCTGCACTACTGTCCTATAGTGACCTGCCACATGAGGGGACACACACACACAAACACACACAAACACAAACACACACAAACACACACCTTCATCATCGTCATCAACCTGAGAACCCGCGGACCACTTCTCCCTCCGTAGTTACAGCGCGGACACCGCCGTCTCGTGCGCCGCGTGTGGACCGTGTTTTCTCGCGTAAACCGCACTTCCTCCTGTGCGCCTCTAAACCAGAACTAACACCAGGACTAAACCAGGACTAAAGCAGGACTAAAGCAGGACTAAAGCAGGACTGAACCAGGTTTAAACTAGGACTAAATCACGACTAAACCAGAACTAAAGACCTGGTCTAGACCAGGTCTAAAAATCAGGACTAAACCAGGACTAAACCAGGTCTAAACAACATGACACCTAACAGTAGGTTGACATAATTTAAGGTGATCTCATATAATTTCTCTATCAATAATATTTTTTAATCTGGTGAAGGAAAGTCTTATCTTGTTACTGTCTTTTAACAGACAAAACCTCTTATATTAAGATATCGTGGTCTTTGTTTCTCTACAGCAAACAGTTGCTTATTCATGGAGACTTGGGCTCAGACAATTTGAAGACAACAAACAAGAATTTTGAGGATGTGGTTGCTACATTCATGTCGTTTAAAAAAACATGACAATATCAAGTAATCCAAAGTAATCAGATTACGTTACTCACTTTAAGTAATTTAATGGATTACGTTACAAATTACATTTTGGGGTGTGTAATCTGTAATCTGTAGGGGATTACATTTTAAAAGTAACCTTCCCAACACTGGGTACAGGAGCCATAGGAACAAAGCAGAACATCTGAAAACTCATTTTGAGTGAGGCTTGGTTAGGAGTCATGACTACCTTGACTGGAGGATTTAACCAATTGCTAATTTTTTGGAGTCCACACTCATAATAAAAGTCAACAAATAAAGTGCTATAATTTAATACTGAACACCAGTTTTTGTTGTTATATATGTGATCATAGCTTTACCCCTTTAAGTTGGTTGTGGTGGCTTTCCATGATACATCTCCTCTTTCTCTATAAATACACTGACTGTAATAAAATAAAATTAAAAAAACGCACAGACTTACCCCATCAACTCCTGCAGACAACAACATATTCACAAGAGACCAAAACACACTGTTAGTATGGAAAAGCTCTACAGGCAGAACAATAATAGTGGGACACAAAAAGGCCTCAAAGTTATGAAATAGATACAAAAAAATATATAATAATATATATATT